CCCATGACAGGGACATTTAAGATGGGACCTGAAAGAAGAGTAAGGCTGGGAGGCAAGTGGGAAGGTCATCAAGAGAAGCAAAAGAAAAGAATGGGGTTAGGGTCAAGAGAGTTTTAAAGAGGGAAAGGCTGTAACAGATTTGTGTGCTGCAAAGACTTCTGACTATGGTGCAAAGAACCAATTGGAGGGGACAAGAGGAAGTCTCAAGCGTACAAAGAGATGGCTTAGAAAGCCAGGACGGCTAGCAGAGCCTCAAATGAACCTGGTTCTAACGATCAAGAAAGACCTCCCTGAGGAAGTAACATTTGAGGTGAGACTACTTGAAGGCTATGGCCTGGTGGAGAGAATATGGCTGGGATTGGAGAAATCTCAGACACACTACTTTGCTGCTTTCACATTTCTACATTTTTGCTACTGTTTTGGTTCCAGTTCCGCATGCCTGCTGTCTTTTCCTCTTAGCCATATCATGTCTGCCTAACTCTCTCAAATCCCACCTCCTCAGATCACACTCATCTATGGCTTCTCTTGCTTCTGAAATCCCATTGCATGGTTGTTCCTTACCATTGATAGGGATGCTACTGAGTGTGTTTATTCAGCTTCACACACATTCATCCCCATGCTCCTTATGAGCTTCTTGAATTTACAAGGCAGCTCCTATTACTCTGCTATCATCCGGAGAACACAGCACAGCAACAGACACAGAAAAGGTAGTCAATGAATGAATGGATGGACTTGGCACTGGAGTCTCAGCAGGTCTCCTTTGATAATTCAGTGCTATCATCTGTGAAGCTGACATGGAAAGGGGTCCCTGCTTTCCCTAAAAGGTGCTAGCTACTTGCATCCAAAGACCCGTATCAACCACTGACCGCTCCTTCCCACTGGTAACTGCTTCTCACCCCCTTCGAATCATCTCTTTCAGCTCCCCCACCGCCTTCTATTGTTTCTTCTGTCTTCTGGTCATCATCCAGGATTAGAAAATGGTCTAGCTGTCCTCAGAGACTTACGCCAGCTCTGCAGTGCCATGAAGGGCCAGGACTTTTGTTCACAGCTGGGATCATGGTGAGGCGGTGAGTACAGCTGACAGCCTCCACTGAGGCAAACATCAATTTTCCTCTGTCCTCTCAGCCAACTTTCACAGACCAGCTCTATTGAAAGCTGGCTGCACCCGCCTGGGTCTCACTGATGTCCCACTCACAACTCTGGCCTGGAAGCAGTGGGGTGAATCTTGGCTTTGTACCTTTTAGGAACTATCTCCAGTTTCCAATCATTGTACCTCAACCTCGAGGTCCTGAAAGAACATGTCCTCCTATGTCCCTAAGCCCGGAACAGTGTCTCCCTCTACAACCAGATCTTCTAATGCTTAGTAACATCTTGTAACAGATCTTGTAACGCCTGGCACCTTCATTTGCTTCGCTGCACAGTACACACAATAAAAAGGGAACAAGATCACAATTTCCACTGGGTAGCTTATAGAAGCCTACCTTCCCAAGATGAGTGGCTGGTTCCAGGTCCAGAGAAGTGTGTGGTTGGGGGGTGGGGGGTGGGGTCGGGTGTGTGTTTCCCAAGTTTTAAAATCTGAAAATCAGATGACACCATAAACCTTCAATGGATACTGAGGGACTCTGCTTTCCTTAGCAACTTGGCCCTCTCCATCCCTCATTTCATTTGAAAATGAAACCCTATCAACCTCCTGATTCTGCTCTCTACCTGCTAGCTAACCGTGTTTCCTCCCATTGGCTGAGGCCTCTTTCGGAGGCTTTCAGCTTTCTCACACTCCCAAATGCCTGAGGGATGTGATACCTTCTTTCAGTAGGAGTGGCTCAGTACCACAATGCTTCTTCAGGGTCTGGTGGTGAAGGGAAGGACTCGGGTGTGGGAAAGTTTACCCTTCCCTGAGAAGGGCCTTATCAGAATTTCTGGGCAAAAGCCTTTATCAAACTAAACTACTCTAGTCCCCAAATTTTCACATGGCTCAACCCTGCTAGAGAGACAGCATACCACCCCACCCCTTGGATAAGAAGTATGCCTCTAAAGAAAAGACCCTGTGTGTTCTCTTCCCTAAAACTGATGAAGCACTTTCTTTTCACACACACACACACACACACACACACACACACACACACGCTGTCTTTTAAAAAGGTTTACTATGGACATTTTTGAAAATACACAAAAGTAGGAAGAATATTATATTTCATCAAGCTTCAACAATTAAGATGCAGCACTTACTGGGTTTGTCATTTTTTAAATATGACAGCTAATATTTTCAAAAGACACAGCTTGTTTCATTCCCAATGGAATGAGAGAATATAGGTTGGAAGTGATAAGCAAAAAAACAAAAATAAAACAAAAACCATCTCACTGGGTGGGGAACAGGCTAAGGACATCCTCTGGAGGCAATACTTGTAGTGTAGGCATCAGTGTCCACTGGTGGAAGTCAGTCCTCATCTCTGCGGGTTGATATATAACATGGGTGACTTTACGTGGTCATTCCAAGTCAAGTCCGTGGCACACAAAACCACAGGTTTAGGTAATTACATGCTAAATTCTTGGTTCAAAAGGGGGAAAGCCAAGGGAGTATAGGAAAGTCCAGCATCCCAAGGTCAACCAAAGACTATGTTGATTATGCACAAGTAGCAATCTCCATATTTCCTGTCATTTGAAGTAACTTCTTTCTGTCAAAAGACTGAATCAGTCATGGGGGTTTATATTACAGGAGAAGAACAGAAACCCCTAAAAGGGGTTGCCCCAGGACTGTTCTCATCTTATTTTCCATCTGTCGAGGGTTAGCAAACTAGACTGATCCAGAAGAATGTGCTGAACTGGTTTTTACAAAATCCCTTTGGAATGAGAGAGGTATAAATAGCTAAACAAAACATCCTTAGTAAAGGAATACCATTTTGCTTAGCCTTGAGAGATTATGTTTTGTTTGACGTTAAATTGACCATTCTTTTCAAAATTATCTAATAAGCTAGTCAGAGCCCAAATGGAAACTCATGTATCAAATGAACCTTAGAACAAGTGTGTCTCCTCCCTAGAGCCATAGGAGGTGTCTAAGTTATCTAGTGCAGCACAGAAAAATAATTTTCTCCCTCCCTCCCTCCTCTCCCAGCTCTGATCTGAGAGAAGATACATGGCTCAGTTTCCAAATGCCCCATGTTCCTAGGCCCCATGGTGACGCTCACCTCTATTTCTACCATTCTCAGTTATGCTTGCTGTCTTATCTGCTCTCCCTACCCCAACTTCAAAAGTCAGTAGGTTGGTTTTTTTAAAGTTGGGATTTAATGCATATATTAAATGTTCCATATTAAATAATATTTCATATTTTAATCATGTCAATTAGAACTGTACAATTGCTACCACAGTTTCCAAGCATTATTTTTCTACATGGACTCCTTGACATCGTCTGCCTTTTACCCCACCACCACCACCACCGTTGTACCCTCCTCCCCTGAAACCCTTATTCTACTTGCTGTCCCTACAGGTTCATCCATCCTGGGTTTCACGTACCAAAAGACAGAAAAGCATATAACCCTGCTTCAAAAGGGTGACCTCCATTGACATAACACCTCTGAGACACACTCGACTATGAGCACACAAATACCAAACAAAACATTACAAACCAAAAATACAGAAAATTCTGGAAACCATATCAGGTCCAGCCTGCATCATATGGGGGGATCTACGGACAGAGTTTTAACTGTTCAGGTCAGATGTATGCCTTTGATCTTCTATACTCCTCTCTCCCAAGGACTCTGCTTAGTAACCACTTTCCTCCCATCCCTCCATTTTAGATAGGGGAAGTCTCCAGAGGTGCATTTCCTATGGAGTTCCGCAAGTGAATCTTGGGCTCCCACTGACATCCATCACCTTCTGCACACCGGATTCTCACAATTTAGGCTCTGACACTGGTCCCTCCATCGACTTTGGATTATATGGATTCGAATTCTTTGGTAACTGATGACAGACATGTGCATCTTCCATGTGGACTTAGTTGATATCTCTCTTAGATAGCTGCTTGTTTGGAAACAAGCCTTTAAGACCCCAGAGGCTACTTTATCTGATTAGCCGGGCACCATCTAAATCATTGGCCACGTTTTTTGCTATAGCACCCATATCTTCTGTGTTCCCTTCCTCAGGGCAAGGATCAATTGGGCCATGATGTAAGAACTAATTGCTCTTAAGTTGGATCTAGAATTTAGTACAAGCCCAAAACCCATTCCTGGATCTATGTATTTGTTGTGTTTTGTTTTAATTTGCTGTAACTTTGGAGTTAATATTTATGTCATATCATTCCATAGTTCAATCACTTCAAACAAAATTGTACAATTGCTTCCACAATCAGTCTCCAAACATTTCCTTCCTGGACTCCTTGACATCATTTCCCTTTTTTCTCCACCTCACAAGTCAGTAGGTTTAAGACAAGACCTACATTAATGCATCCTCATTAACATCACAAGGCAAATCCTACTCCCAAATGGGAGTACATCCACCAGTATGAGGGGGGTTAGGATTCCAACACATATTTTGGGGAGGGGAGCACACAATAGGGCACTCTTCTTCCTCCCCACCCTCCAGAACAAATCAACACTACCTTCCCAGACCTTGGCAGGCTCTCTTTGCCACTAAGCAAGCAAGCAAGGTCAGCAGATATTGTAGGGTAGAGTGCACATTGCACATGGGTGCCCAAAGTCGAGACCACAAAGGAGAGGGTGGGGGGCGAGGGCAGAAACACATCTTTTGACAGCCCTGGTGGAGACCGCAACTTCTGAGAAAAAGAAAAACATTTTAAAACATTATTCCTCCAGAGTGGACACAGTTCTACAATTTATCTGCCCCCTGGGAACACATGGTTCTAATTAGCACAGAGGTATTGTATGAGCTAATGGTGGCCTTGAAGATAAGCACAGGGGTGGAGGGAACCATTGAGTGTCCTGTGGAGGCTGGGGCCATAAATAGCTCTGTCTGGCCTTGAGCCTTGGAGCCAAACAAATATTAACCAAAGCCATCTTTCCCTTCCAGTTGCAACGGACTGTGAAGACAGTTGCTCAGCTCCAAATTCGAAAAACTTCAAATCAGGAAGCTGCTGAAGCTCCTTACCACAAGTAAGTGGAGAGCGCGGGGGTGAGTCTCCATTTGGGGGTGGGTGGGGGGTGTTTGCACTGGGCATAATGGGGGAAGCTTGCATTTTGGAGATCAGTTGAAGAAGCCCTTGTGGCTCGATGGTTAAAGCACTCAGCAGCTACCTTAAAGGCCAGTGGTTCAAACCCATCAGCCAGTCTACGGGAGAAAGATGTGGTAGTCGGTTTCTATAAAGACTATAGCCTTGAAAACCCTTTGGGGGCAGTTCTGGAGGGTTGTCATGATGGCTTTCAAGTCAAAGAAATGTAAACCTTTACTGTGCGGTTTACTAACTGAGCAACTGGCTACAGATTTAACTTCCAGAGGCTTCAGTGAAGGAGCGCTGGAGGCATAGCAGTTAACGTGTTGGGCTCCTATCTACAGGGTCGGCACTCTGACCCCACCAGCTCTCAGGGAGAAAGATGAGGCTTTCTCGGAAAGCCAGTTGTGGTCTCGGAAACCCACAGGAGCAGTTAGTTCTACTCTGTCCTAGAAGGTCACTGCGAGTCAGAATTGATTCGATGGAGATGTTTTGAGGATTCACTGAGATAAGAGATGTCCAGAGCCGAGCCTAAGGTTGCCTAGCACATGGGAGTTCTCAGTTCCCATGTCCTTCTCTGCTGCTACCCAGACTTCAAAGTGAGCTCCTGGCATCCACACCCCCGGCCGTGAAATTGCCCTCAGTAAAGCATAATGATGGGGCTGCTAGATTGACTCTTGGAGCAAGACTCAAGAGATGTGGTGCCCTGCTTTGTTGTTACAGTATTTCGGAAAGCTACCCCTCTCTATTGACCCCATTTATAGAACATCCCTAATGCTTCTCAAAGGGAAAAAAAGAGGAAATCATCTTTGGAGCATCTGCCATGAGAAATGCACTGTGCTAGATAAAACCTCTTGCTGTTAAAACTAAAAGAAAAAAGAAAAAGCTGCGATCAAGTAGATTCCAACTCATAGCAACCCTGTAGGACAGGGTAGAATGCCCAGGTGGGTTTTTGAGACTGTAATTCTTGATGGGAGTAGAAAGTCTGGTGGGTTCGAACTGCTGACCTTTCGTTTCACAGCACAACGCATAATCCACTATGCCACCAGGGATCCTTTGTTGTTGTTAAAACAGCCCCTTTGGTGCTGTCAAATTGATTTTAACTCATTGTGACTCCATGTGACTGAGAACTGCTCCATGAGGTTTCCTAGGTTGTCATAGTTATCCCAGAAATTGGCAGGTTTTCTTTCACTTTGGAGCTGCTGGATGAGGTCAAACCTTCAACTTTTCAGTTATCAGCCAAGCATTTAATTATGGCGCCACCTGGGCTCCATAAACCCTTTCACTTATTTGATATCGTCTAAATTAGTTCTACCCAATAGAACTTTCATCAAAGGTAGGAATGTTCTTCATCTGAACTGTCTGAGCTGGTAGCCATTAGACTTAACACTCTATGGAATGCAGTTCTATTCTACACATATGGGGTTGCCATGGGTTGGAAGTGTTTTGAAAACAACAATAACAATGATGAAGCATGCATGCTTTCCGCATTTAATATATGGTAAAACTGAGACTCCAAAAAGTTAAAGAACTAAACCAACTGTCACAACCCAGGAGTGCAAAAGCTCAGTAGGGTAATAAAGTCAGATATACCTAGTATTCTCCAGATTCCACATCTTACAAATTGTATATGACTGAGGAAAAACCCAACCTCCAGTATTCACTGTCATCATCTATAAAATGCGTAAGAATGGTTACCTGATTTTCAGGTCTTTTATTGAGATTAATGGGTATGAATATATGAGGGGGCTTCAAAATGTTCAGGGGGAAATGGAATTAAGAGATAATGGAGTATTTCCACGGTTGTTTTTTCTGAAGTCCCCTTGAACATAGTGGGGCTCATAGTAGGCTTTCCACTTTCATTCTCTCATCCCTCTGATTCCTCCTCACACACACTATTCAATTACAGAACAGAAATGAAGAGGGCTACAAAAATCATCAAACAACCTCCACTTACTTGATTTGTGGTGCTATCAGGTAAGCATTGGGCTACTGACCAAAAAGTTGGTGGTTCAAAGCCACCCCACCCCCGTCACGCCCTGGAGAAAAGATGAGGCTGCCAGCAGTGTCAAAGATGTAAAGCTTTGGAAACCCTATACAGGGTTATGATGAGTCAAAATTGACTCAATGGATGTGGAGTTTAGTCAAAATTAACAAAAGCCAGGAACAGAGTATCCGCAATGTGCTGTAAGGCCCAGAAAGATGAGCTCTCATCCTGGCTCCCATACATTTCGGGCACACTTGGGATATTTCCACACCTCCTACAGCGGGTTCTAATCTGCAGTGTCTTAGTAAAGCATATACAGGCATCTGTCGTATTGCATGTCACAAATATGGTGCTTTTTACAAATTGAAGGTTTGCAGCAATGCTATGTCAGCAAGTCCATCGGTGTCATTTTCCCGACAGCCTATGCTCACGCGGTGTACAGTTTGGTAATTCACACAATTACTTATATTTTTTCATTATGCTATTGTACCTGTAATAGATTCTTGGTGTAAACATAACTTTTATTAGCACTGGGGAACCCAAAAGGTCACAGGACTCTTTATTGCAATAGTCACTGTATTGCTGTGGTCTGGACCAGGACCTGTGGCGCATGTGTTGTTTGCTTTACATTCTGCAGCACCCTCTAGTGGTATGTGCAAATATAAGCATTACATTTTGGGCCTCTAAAGCACTGGCTCTGAATTTTAGTGTACAACAGAAGCTTCTAATCAAAGATTGCCAAGAATGTTTATTAAGCTTAAATAAGGAGCCCTGGTGGCATCATGAAGTGGTTGCTAACTGAAAGGTCAGAGGTTCGAACCCATTAACACCGTCCCCTGCCCCCACCCCCAAAGAAAAGACCTAGATATCGGCTCCTGTAAAAATTTCAGCCTAGTAAATCCTATAGGGTAATTCTGGCCTATAGGATCATATGGGTCAGAATCCGCTCAATGGCACGCAACAAGAGGGTTGAAGTGGGATCTAAGAATTTGATGTTCTAAAACCTTCCCAGGTGACGTTGAAGCAGCTGATCTGAGAAACATACTTTGAGAATACCTGCTCTAAACCAGCCCCAGCCCACCCTATTTCCACCTGACTCTCATCTCTCTCTCTCTCACACACACACACACACACACACACATATACAATTGATAAGTGAAAGAGGTTTTGTTATTGCTACTGTATTTTGATTTAGGAGTAGTCTTTTAAAGGGGATTTTATGAGGAATAAGTGAGACTATCCGATGGGAAAATCAACAGCCAAGGGTAGTCCAAAAGTATTGCAATAAAGCTCCAGTTTCTACCTGCATTGGTTTACTCCAAACAAAATGTATTTCAACATGTCTCTCAGATCATTGGACAGCTGCAGGCAAGTTTTCTCAGTAATATTTGCCTTAGTCTCATTGGGGGAAACAAGTCACTGCCACTCAGTTGATTCCAACTCATACTGACCCTATTAGGCAAAGTAGAACTACCCCTTTGTGTTTCTGATGCTACAATTTTTTACAGCATCATAAGGCCTCATTTTTCTCCCTTGGAGCGGCTTGTGGGTTTGAACTGCTGCCCTAACCGTCAGTGGACCAACTTGCAACCCACTATGCCACCAGAGCTTCTTTTCGTTCTCATGAGCCTTCAAAAGAATAGGGTAATCAAAACATTAGCTTCCAAGAGGATCTGCTAGGCCATTTCAAAACAGAGCAGTCAGTGCAAATGATTTTAATGATGATTTTTTAAAGGATTTCAAAGGGTTAATCTTGATAGATTTTTCTCAAACACAGGACAAGCATAGGAGCCTATCAGAAGAAAACTCTTAAGAAAGTAGAAACTTGCTGTGTGGACGAAAAGGCCAGGAAAGTTGTGATGAGGATTTTTTTCTCCATCATGACAATGCACATGTCTACTCTTCTAGGGACAAAATGGCTGTGCTAGGGGAATTTCACTGGGAAACTTTACACCATCTCCCAACAGCTATGTTCATCACCCTTCAGACTTAGTTTTGCTCCCCAAACTCAGAGAACATTTAAAAGGCAGAAACACCATCCGAGTCCCTCGAGGATGGCAAAACTGCTACTTTGATGTGGTGTAAATTAGAGAGCACAGATTTCTTAAGGGAAGGGTAAGAAAGATGGTATCACTGCCTTCAGCAGTGTAGACACTTAGGAGGAGGCTATGTTCAGACACAATAGCTTTATATTTGGATAGTTTTGAAAATAAAGGCTTGTATTATAGCAATACTTTTTCGCTTAGCCTCATAGCCTTAAAAAAATAGAAAACATGCAACAACAAAACCCTAAGGACCATAAAATACAAATAAATTTTCCTAGAATCAAAGGGTTATAAAGTGATAGAATACAGCTTAAAAGATTTCTGACTCCAAAGCTATAATAAAGTTTAGCAATGCCACTGCCAAAAATAAGGTCCACACCCATATGATACAAATGTCAACAGAAAAAGATTAGTTTTCATTACTGTAGTCTGAATTTTACCTCATAGTTCTTACCTGTCTTTACTAACCAAAGAGCCCTCGGTATTCTATGTGCCGTAGTGGGTTATGTTAGCCTGCTAACTGCAAGGGCAGCACTTTAAATCTGCCGGTCACTCTCCTGGAGAAAGGATTTCTACGTCTGTGAAGACTTACTGCCTTGGAAACCCAAAGGGGCAGCTGTGGTGTCACTAGGAGTTGGAATCAACTTGATGGCAGTGGGTTTGGGTTGGCATTTGAATAGAAGGTGTGCAGAAAGGGGTAGAATCTTCATCACTATTGGTGCCTGGGGAATTCATCATTTCAGTGATCAAAGAAGACATGGAACAAAGGAAAGGGGCAAAGGGAAGGGAAATATTTTTCTTTAACAGTTGAGCAAATACACAAAAACATTTGAATTGCGGGCCATGGTGTCCTCCATTTGGAGACACTGGCTTCATTTTAATCTTAGAAATGATACATAGCCCCTAGTGGGGAGCCCTAGTGGCATAGTGGGGTTACACAGTGGACTGATTCCCCACAAGACCAACAGTTTGAAACCACGAGCTGCTTCACCGAAGAAATGCGACTCTCTACTTCCGTAAAGATCTCCAGTTTCAACAACCTACAGGACCAGTTCCATCCTGTCCTGCAGGTTCGCTATGGGTCAAAATTGACTCCATGACAGTGAGTTTTGGGTGAGAGATTAAAAACAAACCACACAAAAAAGCCTCCTGCGATTTCTAATTTGGTCTCTACAAAGAGCGTCTGAGGCTGTATATTTTTAAGAGCAGACAGCCTCTTCAGTTGTCCTCAAAGCAGCTGGTGGTTTTGAACCGCCAGCCCTGAGGTTAGCAATCCAAGCGCGCTTGAGATTGCCAAATTCGACAAAACAGAAAGGTGGGTGTGAAAAAAATCCCATAATTCCATGGACCAAAGAGCCAATCCTTTGCTGGAATTTGGTGACATCTAGCGGCTAACTGGTGAGGTGTATGCCTCAACCAGAGAACTTTCTGGAAAAGTAATCGAGTGTATACTTGCCTGAAGGGCGCTGTGCTTGCTGATCAGGACAAAAAGGTAAGAGCGCCTCAGCCTCCTTAGAAATTCAGTTTTTCCTGAGGGGAGAGGTTGTCATATTGAGAGTTGTGTTTAACTCTGTCGAGGAGCTGGGGGTAGGGGGCGAAAGAGGTGGGAGTGGGAAAGAGGATAGGGAGCGAGGAGCTGTTGTATGATGGGGGGTTGAGAAAGGTTCCAGGAAACAGTCGCCAGGAAGAGAAAGGGAGAGGGACTGGCGGGGGAGGGGTAAAGGAACAAGCCGCGGGGTGGGGATGGAGGGAGAGATTACTGGGGGAACAAGAAACTGCCCCCTTGGAGTTGCTAATAGGTGAATAGGAGGGTTTGGATCTACTTCACTTGGGAACAGTGGTCTAACCCAGGATTTTTGCCCTGAGCAAAATGTGAAAGAAAGTAGTTTTAGGGTCTAAAATGGAATCGATAGGGGAAACAAAAGTAGGTATATATATTTTTAAAATAGCTATATTTAACAAGTCCTTTATTTCAGTTGTTATCCACTAGACTTATTTTCCATGAGAACAATTTTCAAACATGCAAAAATAGAGAACCATCGCAATAAACATCCATACACATATCCCCGAAATTTAAGTGCAGCTCACCTACGAGAAGACTGGCGCGCGCACAAGGACACCCCTCCCCGCCCACCCCCGATTCCCCACCCCCAATGCGAGCGCGAAAGCCTAGCGCACACTCCAAGGGCCACGCGAGCTTGACCATGCACGCACACACCCAGGTCCCAAAGACACGCCAGTGACACCAACCACCTCCACTCACGTGCACATCAAAAACACCCCACTCATCCTCCACCCCCGCCTCCCTCCGCGAGTTGCGCAAGATGTAGGGGGCGTGGCCCCAGGTTTGACCTCGCGCTTTCCTACCGGCGGGAACCTTAGCTCATTTCCGCCCATCTCGTTTCCGCAGGCCACGTAGCACTTCCTTTCCTAGTGAGGCGGGGGGAGGGAGGGTGGACCCATAATGCCTCTCTGCAGAAAAAAAAAAAACCTTCTAGTCTGGGGAACTCTGGGTCTTGAAAATAGGCCACGTGAACACTCTGTCCTATAGACTTATGACCCAAAAGCTGTCGCGCTTTTGGAGGGTGGGCCTAAAACCTAAGAGGGCGAATGTGATTGGCTACAGCCTACATTATAAGAAGGAACGTGATTGGTTTACTCATATCCCTTACCGTGAAGAAGCAGGTTGCTAGCACCCGCCTTTATTGCGGCTAAGTGTCATTGATGACGTATAAGCCTTCGTCCAATCATTTGCTTATGGAACATTCTAAAACTTAGACAAGACGAATGTGATTGGCTGGAGGGCCTAAGCCCGCCTCCAGGGTGACGTGTCTGCGTATGGATATCAGTTGCCAGAGAAACCTGGCTTCACTATGGCGGTTGGAGGGTCGGCAGTGAACACACGTCGGCTGCTGGGCAGAGCTGGATTCACGTTTCAGGTTTCGGGGTGGGGGTGGGGAGGACGGGTTGGCGATTCCCTTTTTGTTAAATATAGGCAGAATCAGCTAGTTGTTTTCTTACCGGGCAGAGTTGGTGCGAATTCCTGCTCGTCAACGCCCAGCTCGGGCAAAGCTTCTGTTCTTTCTGCGTCGCGGTTTCCATGTTTGTAAAATGGTGATAATAGTTCTGCCTTAGAGACGTGTTCTGAGGGCTAAGTATGATTCAGTATGTGTAAAGTACGTCATAAGAAGCCTGGCTCCTGTAGATATTCCTATTATTTCGATAATACCGCCGAGAACAGAATGAGAAAATGCGTATGAATTATGTAAATTCGCTCGTTACAGTTCCTTGCCCATCAACTTCCCTGTGAGAAATTAAGCGATACTAGAAGCAGTCTTTACCAATGAAAGGATGCGTAAACAGATTTCCTTCAAATTAATGGGGATTTGAATGTTCCAAATTGAGAAGTTAAAAAAAACGAGCGAAGCTACAGATTATCAACCACATGCGATGCGTAGGCCTTGTTTGCATCTTGCTTTGAACATACCAACTGGAAAAGAGTATTTTATGATGCCGTTGGGGAAATTTGAACACGATTCGATATTTTGGGGTTTTTAATGAAATTTAGGGCTTTTTCAAAGGCGTTATAATGACAATTGTGGTTATGTTTCGAAATTGCCTATCTTGTGACGATAGCGACTGATATATTTACGGGTTAAATGATAAAATATCTGGGATTGGCCTCGAAATACGTAGATTTGCTGCAAAAAAATTCGGTGAAGAGGAAAATGGGGCGGGCTAGACACGAAATTAAATTAGTCTAAAGTTTAAAAGCTAGTGATATTCTACTTTCGTATATATTTGAAATTTTCCTTAATAAAATAGCTTTAAAAGTCAGCTTATTACGTGAGCTTTAAAAATCGGGGTGGGGGGGCAGTGGGTGGGGTTATAGATAAAACAAGATGGCCTTTGAAGCTGGGTGAGGGATTTATGCGTGTTCGCAATCCTGTAACCTCTAATTTTTTATCCATGTGATTTTTTTGTTTCATTAAAAAGCCCAAAAAAGGTAATTTGTCTTCCAAAACAAAAATATACATGCTTTGAAAATACAACCACAAGAGATGAAAAAGAAACGTTTGTATATTGTTTATCAGCCTTGGTGTCCTTTGTGTGTGATAAAAAATCCTTTGGATTGGTGAGAAAGAAAATATTATCTCATGCATTTGTATTTTGTGTCCTTTCTTGTTCCCTTCTTTGACCCTCTAGGTCAGCATCTAAAAAGCTAAGTTTGCTGCCCACTAAGGATCAGAAGATCTGATCCTGCTTACAGAACTGTCCCTCATTACAGAATTCTAGGTAAGTGCTTCCCTTCTCCTGACCTCAGTCCTCAAACATCATGCCACAGAGGCTTCTTAAATGTCCAGGAATATTTTGAAGATTAATAAGCTGTCTGGATTTTAATAAGCCCATTGGTCCTTCAATATAGAAAGTGTATGTACAGGCATAAACAACAGAGGACTTATATAAACTCGTGATCTTTGATTATGAGATTCTACAAACAATGCCCTATGTTTAATTACACAAATTTATATATTTACTATCGTTTTCCTTCTAAGGCCTCCGATATGCAGCATAATTTCGTGGTTAAGAGCAAATACTGATTTCTTAAATTAAAATTCTGACTCTGCCACTTAACTATACCATCCTGGACAAGATATTTACTCACTTTTTACCTCGGTTTCCCCATATGTAAAATAGAAGTGATCAAAGTGCCAGAATCTTGCTATGTGCTTGTGTAAGTGCTTTTTTTTCTGACACATCCTATTTTGTACACACACATTTCTAAAAGCAGTGGATACCTCTATTTTGGAAATATAATAATACTATTGGTTTCTCTCCTGATTTTCCAGAAGCAGCAGTTCCCACTAAAACTGAAATCTGAAATTTTGACTTCTGGCTTGTCCTAGCAATCTAAAAATGTCTTAAGTGTTGTTGATCATATTTATCAGGGAATTCCCAGGTGTCAGATAAGTCACAAATCATAATTTCAATCTGTCAATAGTTTTTAATATCATGCCTCCCCGTCTGAAAAATTTAAAAAAATAAAGATGTTCCAAGATTCAAAAGAGACATACTATGAATGTAACTGACATGGTGTGTGCACATTTAAAGATTTATTCCGTCGGACTAGGAGATGTTATGCATACTTATTTGTCACAAAGATGTTAGTAGTTGGGAGTTTGCATTCCTGATTGGCCCATCCATCACATGCATGGGTTAAAGGAAGGTTTTTCAGTCTCTTGAGGGCTTAATTTTCTCGTGAAGTTCTTGCATTTTCCTATTTTTCTCCCTTCCAAAAGCTAGGTTTCAGAGGTGGGCACTGCCGAGGTAGAAGAGATGAATTGGCAGAACACCCCTCCATGTGAAGCCATTTGGAGAATGATTAAAGGCTAAAGGGAGCAGGGTGGATTGCTAATCCAGTAGGAGCTCAGAAAGGCATCAGGGTAACCTGAAATAGAGGAAGCCTTAATGAGGAAACTGATCTCGACTGGGGCTCTCAGAATGAGCAGGCCATAGGGGGAAGTTGGAAACCAGTCTGAATGGTATGCCTGGAGAGTATGCAATAAGTAATATTATCTACTAGTTCAGCTATACATAGGATCTGTGGATAAGAATAGCTCCAAATAGCATTGTAAATGTTAAGCACTTTTTAAAATTAATTTTAAGTTGCATAAGTGAATACATTCTCACTGTAAAATTTGAAAATGGTACAGACTGGGCTTGTTTTCTTTTAACCACCCTCAATCTCCAGAGGTGACCACCATTACTGGTTTGATCTATTTTCTTCTAGATCTCTAAATTGTGTACCTTTTTTTTTTAATGTGTATGGCTATTTAATTGTTTTTTGTTTTTCTTTTTACACAAATAGGGTATCACTATAAGTATTGTTTCGGAACTAGCTGGTTTTGTCCTTGGATATCTTATCCAGTCATCTTGTTCTCTGATTCCTTTCACGATGGCATTCCTTTTTAAACTAGCATGCTATTCCATCTTATGGCTATATACCACATCTTACTTTGATAAACTGGGGATTGACTCTGCTGTTTGCTACTTCAAATAATACTGCTGTGTCAAACATTCATGTGTAGTTCTCTTGGGGCATATATGCAAGTGTTAGTCTAGACTCTGGAGTAGGCGTCCTCAAACTACAGCCCACAGGCCACATGCAGCCCGCCGAGGACATTTATCCTGCCCGCTGGGTGTTTTTGCTCCGTTTGTTTTTTTACCTCTAAGGTGTGTGCAGTGTGATTAGGAATTTGTTCACAGTTTTTTTTTAAAACTATAGTCCGGTCGTCCAATGGATCTGAGGGACAGTGAACTGGCCCCCTGTTTAAAAAGTTTGAGGACCCCTGCTCTAGAGCAACATATATTTCTAAGCTCTGAGAATAATCAGATGTCTCACTGTGACAGAAAAGATGGCTTAGAGTGATGCCTTTAAGAAATGAAAACAGATAACAGTTGTATGAGCCCCTAATAAAATGTTAAAAAAAAAAAAAGAAATGAAAACAAAAAACATTGCAAAGAGAAAACCACAAAAGACCCATATACCTTTGGGAGTTCAGGGTAAGATAGCATTTCAAATCACTGTGGATTCTTTGGTAACTGACATTAGGAACCGTTTGTTATATGTTTGGGGGAAAGCTAATGCCTTTTATGCAAAAATAAATACACTCAATGGATTAAAGATTTAAATGCAGGGATAAAGCAATAAAAATTATTGTTTAATGCAGGGATTAGTATAAGCAGTCATTCTTGTGTTATTGGTTGGGACTAGTTTTCCTAAACATGATCTAAAAGCCAAAGATCACAAGAAGACGGATAGGTGTGTGGTTTTTTGTTTGTTTGTTTTCTTTGTGTGTGTGTGTGTGTGTGTGTGTATATTCCTGGACATGAATTTTTAAAGTAAGCCACCATAAAAAGACACAAGATAGAACCGTTTGGAAAAAACATTCCCAACATACTCAAAGAGGTTAATAGACTAGACATCAACAAAATCAGCACATTTTTTCGTTTCCCCACTCCCAAAAGACACATTGACCAATGATCATATGAAAAGATATCACACAAATTCAATAATGAAAATAAGATACCTTATTACCTATTGGCAAAAAAAAAACTTGCCCCCAAATAGAGTTTATCCATTGTTGATATTGGGGAAAGGATCTACTGCATTCTTGTTAGGATTAGCAGTTCAAATGGTTCTACTTTTGGGAACAGATCTTTCAGCAATAGCGAGCCTATTGCGTTAATATAGCTGTACTATTACACTATTTTTTTTATAATAAAGTGTTAGAAGAACTGAGTGCTCGATGCGGGACTGGTTAAACATGGCACATAAAAAAAATAATACAGAATATAATGGGGCTGTTAAACATGAAAGTGAATGTGCACATAAATTTTAAAGCGTGTGTACCAGTTTATTCCTGGGGGGTGTTGAGGTGGTAAGGGGAGAATGTTCCAGAATATGTACATGGTACTTGAAAGTCTACAAAGGGAAAATCAAAATGGTGTCAAAAGATTGATTACTTGGGAGAAAATTGGCTTATTACTTACAGAATAGAGTTCTAGGTGGGTTAAGTCCATAAAAATAAGTCATTTTAATGTTAAAAGACATCCATACCTGGCTATCTAAATCTTGGGGAGGATGGAGGGTTAAAGGTTATACTATAAAAGAAAATATTTACCAAGCTAGGACATACTTAATCATAAAAGGCTATATGTAATTTCTTTTAGAACTGAAAAACCACTTCAAGTTCATGGGCAAAGGATAAAAAGTTGAAATATAAATGTTAAAGCTTCAGTAATAAAAAAAATCAAGCAACCCCCTTTTCCTCCTCAAATTCATATATACATGAGGTTGCCCAGTAATGGCCTGGTTATGAAGTATCCTGACTGCCATTTGTTGGATTTTCCTGAGGTGATTTGGCAGTAAGAACCTTAGGAGGTAGGCCTCTTGACTCACTAAATCCACTTTGGAAATCTTGCAAAGGAAATGGGAAAATGTTTGCAGAGCATTGCTGTTGGTGTGGGAGAAAACTGAAAGGGGTTGGTCAGGGAAGGAGTGACCATTTGGTGAGATGGGTGCCTCAAAGTAGATGGCAGGGATGACCATGGTAAGGGCAAGTTCAAGATTATCCTGTCTTTCCCAAAAGACTCTAGTACTGGCTGCTAGCTCCAAGGTCAGCAGTTCCAACTCCCTGGCTGCTCTCAGGTTTATAATCCCAGAAATCGGAAGGCGCTGTTTTGCTCCACCCTTAGAGGTTAATGTGAGTTGGTGTCAGCTGGGTAGCAGTGGGTTTGCTTTTTATTATAGACCCAGAAGACCTGGAGGTACAGTAGTGAAGCATTTGGCTGCTAGCTCCTTTGAGGGGTGGAAGTACATTTCCTTAAAAATTAAAAGAGGGACAAGTTTCCATTGTCTTTAAGTCAATTCCTTGGCTAGGGGTCCTTCCATACAGACTACAGCCTTGAAAACCCTAGGAAGTAAGTAATTCCAAGGTCCCTGTGAGTTTGAATCAATCTGGCTGGTTTGAGTTCGTGATTTGGTTTTTTAATACCTGCTGCTAGGTAAGTAGCCCTGGTGGCATTAGGCTGCTAGTAGCAAATGTGACTGCAAAACCATCCAGAGAAAGGAGGCACACTAGCTCCCCTAAATATTTAGTTGGAGAACCCCTGTATAGGGTTGCTTTGAGTCAGAATCACCTCTTTGGCAGCAGTAGTATTTGTTAATGGAGGACCCCAGTGCTAATGAAAGATTTGAAAGGTGTGCTGAGGCCTATAAACTTGAGTCCATGCTGATTCAATGACCCTCTTGTGGGTGCTGGAGCTACAAATGGTTTTGAACTGGCAACCATCTGGATTACAACCCAACTTGTAACCACTATACCACCAGGGCTCCTGAACAAGCCTTGTAGCAAATTGAAATTAATGTAGTTCCATAAAGCAAAACCAGAGGACTGGTGTTGGCTTCAAATGGGTTTACAGGTGGGGCTTGACAGGATTTAGAGAAAGGAGACAAGCCCAAGAGGAACAGAGATTAGGCATACCAAAATAAATAAACTACCTGAAAACTGGTGCCTTCATAATCTAAAGTAGCTCAGTAAACTAATGCTGACAAAATGCCAACTTGAAGAATGCAGAACATTTGCAACTAACCAGTGGGAGCAATCAAAGCTACTGGGAGGAGTGAAATGGTGATGGTAGTAAAGCTATCCCCAAAACGTTGCTTTTATCCCTTACTATATAAAGTTGATGTCGGCTCCTGGCATCCCTATGACAGAACTGAGTTGGTCTGAATTTCTGAGGTAAATCTTAATAGGAGTAGGCCACGTTCCACACATTGCTTGATGGGTTTGAACCACTGACCTTGAGCTTAGCAGCCATTATGTTTGTATTGCTGGTAGGGACCCGAGGCTAGTTGTAAAAATTTAATCTTGGAAACCTACAAAGGCAGTTCTGTGCCCTGTAGGTTCATTGTGAGTCAGAATCAACTTAATAGCAGTACATTTGAGATTGTTCTTTGGTTTTCAAAGAGCTGCTTCCCTGCTGTTATTCACAGACCTGAGTCAGTGATGCAAGTAATTTTCCAGCACACTTAGAGGTTTCATTCAATTTGGGATTGCATACGAATGCCTGCCGGAATGAGTGGAGGATGCTTAAACTGGCCATCTGTAATGAGAGCCAGGTGTGAGGTCTGTATACACAGCAGTGCAGGTTCCTTCACCTCACCTAGGAGTAGTAATAAGCAGTGTGGCTTCCAAAATAGTTCTTGTCCTGCCTGGCACCACTATTACCTGTTTTACCCAGGCAGGTCTGCACTGAGTCATGTTTTTGTCAAAGTCTGGAAGCAGAGCCCCCCAAATAGCCTTTTTTAAAAACTATTTTGTTGTAAGCATGATAGTTTGCTGTACACTCAAGTATAAGCCGAATTTTTCAGCACATTTTTAATGCAGTTTTTGTGGTACAATTAGGTGCCTCGGAGGATATTTGAGTTGGCTTATACTCAAGTATATCAGTAATACCATGGCCAAGCCTGCAGTCCTCATGTGATCTTTCACGGATCAATGGAAATCCTGCAGAAAGCTTGGCAACAAGGGGGGGCGGGGTGTGTCTGCATACCCCTGGCAGCCAGAAGGTTACAGATTCTCACAAAGCCCATCTCCCATCTTCAGTGATTTTGATAGTGGGAAGCTGACTGTTCCCTTTAATTCTTTCCGCTTAGAGAAGTGCGTCTTTTTTTTTTTTTTAAGTGTGCGTTTTTCAGTCAGATTAGTGTTTAGTGAAAGTGCCAACACCCAGGCCTCTTGCCAATCACTGGATTTCCTGCTGCTGGGCTTTAATTTCCAAATGTGTTTCTTCCAATTCCCCCATCAGGATTTCACTGGTAGCCTGAGGACTGGAATCGTGGCTGTGTATGTGAATGGTAGTTAGGGAAACCCATTGTAAGTTTGGTTTGGCAGCATCTCCTTTTTTTCCTTTTCAAAAAGTGTCAGTTGCCATCTAGTTGATTCTGATTTCTGGTGGCCACATTTATGCAAAATAGCACTCCACGGTTTTCAAAAGGCTGTGATCTTGCCGATGCAAATTGCCCATCTGTCTTGAGGGGCCTCCTTGGAAATGTGTTTGAACTGCTAAGCTATTGACTAGTTGACCACTTAACCATGGTGTCACCCAGGTACTCTTTCCCAAAGGTAAGCCCTGTCATAATCTGGTTATTTTGTCTGTCTAGTCATTGCCCTATGTGGGTCTACACTATAGTGTAAACACAAATTGGATCACAGGTTCATCATAACAATTCCCTCCTTTGGTCTATGGCCTCTCCTTTTTCTTCCACAAAGAGAAAAAGGTGTTAAGCAGCTGCTGATGGAAAGGTTGACAATTGAAATTCTCAGGCCAGAGAAAGATGCACCAGTCTTCTTCTGTAAAGATTACAGCTTTGGTCACCCTGTGGGCAGTTCTACCCTATAGGGTCAGCATGAGTCTGAGTTGACATGATAGGAATGGATTTGGAGCTGAGTTTAGTTAGATTTGTTTTGGTTACAGCCTTCTCTGGAGGCTTAGTAGGCATAGTTGGGCAATCGCAAGGTCAGCAGTTTGAAACCACCATCCACTCCATGGGACACCTAATGAGTTAATCTCGGAAATCCACAGGGGCAGGTCTGCTCTGTAGGGTCTCTGAGTCAGCATAGGCTCCATGGCAGTGAGTTTAACACATTCTTTTATGAGGTGCATATGTAGTCATTTGTATTACCATTTCCCTAGTGAAGAATATTTAGAAATAGCCAGTTTTTGGTGTTGCAAGCACTGCAGTAAACATCTTTGTGTGCATGTACAGGTGTTCCTGCAAAGCACCTCACTAGCACTTCAGCTGCGTCGCATTCATTCAATTCTTAGAAGAAACTGAAGGGTAGGGATAATTAACCACATTTTGCAAAGGTGCAAACTGAGGATAAGCATTTGCGTGTTCCTCTTAATTCCATTCCTCCACATGCCTTTTGAAGCCCCTCTCCTCCTTCCCCCATAAATGCCTAAGGTGTCACAGCTTAGAAGTGGTAGCCTAATTGAAGTACAAGTCTTATGTGACATCAGAACTCATGTATCATCTCTGATACCTTAGTTGTTATCAAATTGTTATTCCTGTATAAGTATAAAAAGCTTGCATTGTTATTTTCTGTGGTCATGAAAAGTCCTCTTCATTGCAGATCCCCACCTCATCCTTCCAAACCATCCCTGAAGACCTGTAAGAGAGTTCCATCTCAGAAAGCACTAGGAGTTCTTGGGAGGGGAAGAAAGAAGAAGATTATGTAAGTCAAAGCTCCTATTTCATCTGTATTTTTCATATCAATAGGAATACAAGATCCCTTATATTCCCATCCCTGTTTTTCTAGCTCTCTCGCCTGAATTTTGCACTGAAAACTCTACCTCTTTGGCTCCCGAAATAGCTTTCTCCGAATCCTAGGGGTGCTCTGCCCATTTTTTTTTCTACTTCCCTCCCCTACGGTTTCTAGAACTTCATACTTGACTAACTCCTCCCCATTTCTATTCTCCCTGTATTACTGTATTTCTTTAATTTATGGTTTCCATTACTAACAATATGGGGGGGGCTTCAAAAAATGGAATTCAAAGATAAGGGAATTTCTCCATGAACTTTTTGAAGCCCCCTTATATAAGGATTATTCTCAAATCTCCATTTCTGGCTCTAACCTCACCTGTGCCCTAAAGTTGTATGTCTAACTGCACATCTCACACTTACTAGGTCTAATACAGATCTTTTTCCCTCTAATCCTTTACCACCTCCTCTGGATACAATTTCATTTGATAATACTAAGGTTCTAGGCACCCATCTTCAAAACCTGTGATTCATCATTGAGTTCTCCCTCACCGATTTATCCCGGCCTCCAACAATTCCATCTCTTGTTCCTATAGTATTCTCTGCCTGTAACTACCATTGTATAAATCTAGTTTTTTGTTTGGTTTTTTTAATCATTTTATTAGGGGCGCATACAACTCTTATCACAATCCATACATACATCAATTGTGTAAAGCACATTTGTACATTCATTGCCCTCATCATTCTCAAAACATTTGCTCTCCACTTAAGCCCCTGGCCTCAGCTCCTCGTTTTTTCTCCTTCCCTCCCCGCTCCCCCCTCCCTCAAGAACCCTTGCTGACTTAGAAATTATTGTTTTGTCATATCTTACACTGTCCGACGTCTCCCTTCACCCATTCTTCTGTTGTATGCCCCCCAGGAAGGAGGTTGTATGTAGGTCCTTGTAATCCGTTTTATAATTGTCACTATAGGCATTTGAATCCCCAGGACTTAGCATAGAACCTGAAGCAGGTTACTGACTGACCAGCTAGATTCCTGAAGAGGGAATTACTGATGTGCTAGTATTTTGTTGCTGATTCCAAGCTGACCCTTGGGAAAATCAGTTTCTCTTGACTGTCATCACTCTTTAAGTTCAGGACTTTAAATCACTGCCTACCTGCACTTAACATGAGAACTTGCACTATTGCTTATTTTCATTTTAATCGTCTTTATGCCTTTCCTCTATTCAGAAGCCTTTACTTAAACTCCACTGCCTTTTTAAATTTTCATTTTATTTGTATCTGTCATTTGTTCTATACGAGGCAGCCTCAAAAAGTTCATGGAGAAATTCCCTAATCTTTTAATTCCATTTTTTTGTGTGTTGTTGGTAGTGGAAACATTTGATTTATGGGTAGGTGAGTAGGTGGGTGGCTGGGAGGGATAAGGGTCATAGGTAATGAGGATTTTGGGGGGGGGGAGTCACTTATAAAAGGTCTTCTACTAGGATTTGAAATCCAAATATCAAGGGAATATGTATTTTGCTTTGATATACCTTGATAAGCATACTCTGTTAAATGTTGCTGTACAAAACAACCAAGTACAATGCTTTTTATGTTACAGTGGTTGGAATAAAAACAGGGTTGAATGAGTTCCAGAAAGCAGGGCTCTCAAACCCGTGGACAACAATCTGCCGAAGAAGACAACTTCAAGAAACCAACTAGAAGCAACATGCAGAGAAGCAAGATGAGAGGGGCCGCCTCAGGAAAGAAAACAGCTGGTCCTCAGCAGAAGAATCTGGAGCCAGCTCTTGCAGGCAGATGGGGGGGTCGCTCTGCAGAGAATCCCCCATCTGGATCTGCAAGGAAGACCAGAAAGAACAAGCAGAAGCCTCCTGGAAACGGAGATGGTGGCAGTACCAGCGAAGCACCTCAGCCACCTCGGAAGAAAAGGGCCCGGGCAGATCCTACTGTGGAAAGCGAGGAGGCATTCAAGAATCGTGTGGAGGTGAAGGTGAAGATTCCTGAAGAATTAAAACCATGGCTTGTCGAGGACTGGGACTTAGTTACCAGGCAGAAGCAGCTGTTTCAGCTCCCGGCTAAGAAGAACGTGGATGCCATCCTGGAAGAGTATGCAAATTGCAAGAGATCTCAAGGAAATGTCGACAACAAGGAATATGCAGTTAACGAAGTTGTGGCGGGAATAAAAGAGTATTTCAATGTGATGTTGGGCACTCAGCTGCTCTATAAATTCGAGAGGCCCCAGTATGCCGAGATCCTCATGGCTCACCCTGAGGCGCCTATGTCTCAGGTTTATGGTGCACCCCACCTTCTGAGATTATTTGTAAGAATCGGCGCGATGTTGGCTTACACGCCCCTTGATGAAAAGAGCCTGGCGCTATTGTTGGGCTATCTGCATGATTTCCTAAAATACCTGGCAAAGAATTCTGCGGCCCTGTTTACTGCCAGTGATTACAAAGTGGTTTCTGCCGAGTACCATCGCAAAGCCCTGTGAGGGTCTACTGACCACTCACTGTTAATGTCTGGATATCTGTAAACCTTTTTTTTTTTTTTTTTGGTTCTTAGTCCTTTTTCTTGTATAATTGATGTTCTCTAAAATTGTTAATGTATCACAGGGCTGACATTTAAGTTCGTTTTCTGTTTGTTTCGAACAGAAAATAGAAGGGAGTCTAAACTCCTTTTCTCATTTCAAAGTTGCTACCAGTGTGCGCAGTTATTAGACAATGAAGAAACCTTCAGTAGAACATTTTATTGCCTAGTTGACAACATTGCTTGAATGCTGGTGGTTCTTTCTATCCCTTTGACACTACACAATTTTCTAATATGTGTTAATGCTACGTGACAAAATGCCCTGATTCCTAGTGCCAAAGGTTCAACTTAATGTATATACCTGAAAACCCATGCATTTGTGCTCTTTTTTTTTTTATGGTGCTTGAAGTACAACAGCCCGTCCTCTGCAAATCATCTATGTTGTTGTTCCTTAGGCATTCTATCTTTGCTGAAATTGTTGAAGGATGGTGGTTTGTTTCATGGTTTTTGTATTTGAGTCATACATATTCTAACATGATAGAGGCAATGCATTCTTGTGTAGCCGCGGTTTTCTGAAAAGTTGATATTTTAGGAATTGTATTTCAGATCTTAAATAAAATTTGTTTCTAAATTTCAAAACAAACCATTTGCAGTGTGCCTTTAATATTACTGAGGTGTAGATCAAGGTTGCAAGCTAGGATTTCAGGGGTGGGGCTCGGGGTTGGGAATGAACAGCTGGTGAGTTAGGCCTCCGAAAGTGGAAGAATCTCTTTTCCTTCTTGGGTGTGGCAGCTGGCACTGAGCCCTGTCATGCCTGTCTCCTTAAGGCAGCATTGCTTTCTAGTTCTGCTTGTAAGAGCCAATTTTGCCCAAGTCCCCCATACTCTATGAGTTTGGTATAATGAAACATTTCCCAGATATTACAATAGTCCTTGAGGAGCCCAGGTGTTGCCATGGTTAAAGCCCTGGGTGAATCGAACCCCCCAACTGCTCCTAGGAAGAAAAGTTCGGCAGCCTTGTAAACAGTGCAGCAGTTCTGACCTGCCCTGTGGTGTCACTATGTCTGAATGGCTGGCAGGTTTTTCTAATACCAGTCCCATACACTTAAGAGCTTTTTCACACCAGACAAAGCATAGGCAGCTACCTTAGTTCATCTCAAAAATTCATGTTGATTTTTGGCCAAGGATGGCAGCCTTCCATAGTTCAGGCACCTGTCATTTGTCCTGTGCTTTTGGATATAACATTGGGAGTCCTAGGCCCTGTTGGGCGGGAGGGGGGGTTGTTGTGGGGTGATCCATGGGGAGGGATAGTGTTAGAGACCTATGCTTAGAAATCCCTCTTACATGGAAAATTACCAGTCAAACCCAAGGTTGGTTTTTGTGTTTATTTTTCATGGTAGTATTTTCCATTATGTGAAAAAAGATTTCCGTGGTTACTCTAGACTTTTTAGGACATGGAGCAAAAAGGACCGTGGAACTAAGCAGCACATAAAATTCCACTGGATCGTTCAGCCACAGTTCCAAGTGGGGGAAAAAGGGTACTTGAGTTAAGGAGAATTAATCTTTTCCAAGTTGTCAGCTTAAGAGTTGGGGGCAGGGGAAGGTTCCTGTTGCTAACAGCCCCTTGGGCTGGGCCCTGGAGAGTAGGAAGGGAGAAAATGAGAATGGAGGAAGAGAGGGAAAAGGGTGAGGGGAAGGGGAAACGGAGGAGGGCAGAACGGAATGGTTACAGCTCGAGAGTTGGGGTGGGGGAAATATCCCTGATCTCACTTTCTTCTAACACCTTCACACCACCTGCCTGCTACAAGCCTGAGGACAAGAAAAGCATTTGATGTAATCCATATTGGTCACAGAACAGGAAGGAAAGAAGATCAAGGGACAAATGAAAACTATCCAGCGTCCAAGTACCTAAAACAGCTACCAAAGTTCTCGTGCCATATATTCCTAGAATTATGATACATATGTACATATTCTACATATATAATAAAGATCACACTTTTTCAACAACATTGAGATTAGATTAGACATGGATTGCTAAACAGTTTTTTTCTTCACAATATAAAGTCTAACAGTCTATTTTTAAGTGACAATGCCAAGCCGACAGAAAAATACTGAAAATGATGTAAAGAGCGCTGCTAGATAGTAAAATGTGTTATAAGAAGTTTATTACTGGCACCAACACGGATCTCACACTAGGGCAGCGGTTCTCAACCTGGGTTGAGACCCCTTTGGGGGGGGTCAAATGACCCTTTAATAGGGGTCGCCTGATTCATTAACAGCAACATTACAGTTATGAAGTAGCAACAAAAATAATTTTATGGTTGGGGGGTTACCACAACATGAACTGTATTAAAGGGTCACCGCATTAGGAAGGTTGAGAACCACTGCTGTAGGGCTTAGCACACAGAAATTCCTTAATGTGTACACAGTATATGCAGTAATTTGTATATTTCATGTCCTGGTGAATACTTTATTCAGAGAGAATTCTGAAGTCTGATCACTGAAATGATCCAAGGTCTGTATTGCTGATGGATGGGTTGAACAGGCTTTGGGAGACAACTTGGGAGAAATCTTTCTGTATCCCACAATCATCATGGCACTTGATTATGGGAAACAGAAGGATTTCTCTCAAGTTGTCTCCCCCAAATTTATGCCAGACTTAGCTGCTTGAGAATGACTATACACTTGGAGGTCATCAAGAATAGATCAGGGGTCATTCTCCCTAAGAGCTATCAGCCATCTAGAGCAAGCAGACACCACTGTTTATCCCACAAGTAGGGCCCACTCCCTTCTGATAAGGATAGTAGTTGTCTATTTCCTTGTAGGAGACACCAGAGAGGTCAAACCCGCCCAAGGATGACCAAGGTTAGGCTGCCATCATGAATCTAGGGTCCAACCCATCTTGTCACATGTATACCCCTAGACCTTCCCATTCCTATGGGCACACCCCTAGCTCGTCCCCTTCCTGTTACGCTTATGCTTATCATACATCCCCTTCCTACAATGTGTATGCCTATTGTACTGCCCCTTCTTGTGACGTGTGTTTACATGTAATCATGTCCCCCTAAAGAGATATAATGCTTGGTTAGCAATAAGGAGAGTGCTCTCTCCAGTTCCCGGGGCCTGAGGGCTCTCCTGCTCTCCCGGCCGGGTTCCCCCCACGTGGACCATCAAGTGGGGCTGAGGTGAGCAATGCTACCATGAATTGTGTCTGACTCCATTTATTCTAATCTCTCCTCTACCTTTCATGCTATGACTTTACTATAATCTTTACTTATTATCACTGTACAATTGCACCTACTGGACTTGTGATGATTCGTGGGGACCCCTCTCCCTTCACCCCACACTTGATATTTCATGTGTTTTCATGACTGTTGATTTTAGTTTCTACCAATGAAGCATATGTACTTAAAGCTCCAAAACTTTAGATTATGAATTCCAGTGCCGGACATCCCCTTACAGAAGGGTCACGGGGAGGAGACGAGCCAGTCGGTGCAGTGTAGCAATGATGAAATATACAACTTTTGATTGTGATGAGTTGTATGAGCCCCCAATAAAATTATTTTAAAAAAATAAAAAAGAAACAACTTTCCTCTAGTTCTTAAATGTTTTCATCCCCCATTCCCCCCCCCCACTATCATGATTCCAATCCTACCTTACAAATCTGGCTAGACCAGAGGATATACACTGGGTCAGATAGGAACTGGAAACACAGGGAATCCAGGAACAGATGATCCCTTCAGGTCCAGTGGTGAGTGGTGATACCCGGAGGGTGGAGAGAAGGTGGAGTAGGAAGGGCTAGAAAGGATCTGTATATAACCCTCTCCCTGGGGGACGGACAGTGTAAGACAAATTATCAAGGGTTCATGGGGAGGGGGGCGGAATGAGCTGATACCAAGGGCTCAAGTAGAAAGCAAATGTTTTGAGAATGATGAGGACAACAAATTTACAAAAGTGCTTGACACAATGGATGTACATATGGATTATGATAAGAGTTGAACGAGGAGCCCCTAATAAAATAATTTTTTTTTAAATGTTTCAGTGCCAGACTCAATAGCTCTGAAACCTGATAGGATCATCTCCTTTCTTCCAATTTCCTCTACCTAAGATGATGATAAAGTTAATATGAAAAAAATATTTAAGTTTATATGTATTCATTACTAAGTGCCGGTATTCTTGGTGGGTTGTATAATGATTTCTGTAAGCCTCCCAACAACAACCCTGCAAGGAGTAATGTGATTATTCCCATTTTATAAAAGGGACCCCAAGCCCAAGGACACAGAGATAAAAATGGCCCACCTGGGATATGAACCCAGACAAGCTCCCAATATCGTATTATCGTCTCTGAAAAAAATCATACAGGTATTAATAAATGGTAACTGTGAGAACTGTAAAAGTACCCAACCCTCCATTCAATTCAGGTCCTCCTAGGAACTGATAACAAGATGATTTCAGGGGGAACAGGTGGAGATGGTGGGAGGATTCAGACCATGATGAGCATATGACAGCTGTAAAAGAACAAGATGGAAGGAGTACTGAGCAGGAAGAGCATCAGACTGCAGATTAATAATAAAAGATGGTCCACGCCAATGGGATGCCCCGAACCAAGATTAAGAGTTTCTCATCGATCTGAAATGGCCTAGCTCCAGTGGCCCAGCTGTGCTCAGCCACATGAAGGAGCAGTTTGGGCAAAGTATAACCTTAGCATGAATGTCAGGGTAGATCTAAAGTTTCTTTAGAGGAGCTATCTGAGCTCTTATGACTCCATGGTCACCACAGATATGGTGAGTATTACTTGGCAGTCATTCACACAACTGTTGACAGGCCTGCACATTTGACCTGTGCCTCCACCCAGCCACTGTGCCCTGCTCCAAGAGCCTAGAGATGCTGGTTACAGGGCTCTCTCCAAGGCCTTAGACCCTCAGTGCTTTCTGCTCTGGAATTGCCCAGGCAAGTTATTGCTTTGATATATGATAAATATATCAATGTATGAGCACAGAATGGTGAGAGATTACAATTCAACCCCAGGTTTCCTGGTTAGACTCAGATGAGAGAACTGCTTGGTAAGGACTAGCACAGCCAATGTTTGAGTTTCATCTGCCCTCCAACTCTTCAAAAGCGAAAGGGAAAATCAAAATGCTCCTGTCTGCAACAGGGACAGTTCTCTTTTTCAGGCATTTCTGTCCTGGACAGCCTGGCTGTCAGCCTAGGTGGGCCTGGCGCCTGCTTCAGCCTTGAGGAGAGACTCCAAGGTCAGACCCTGGGAGATAGCCCATCTACCTCCTATCTGAGTCCCACCTCTCTGAGCACCAGCGGGGGTGGGGGGTAGGTGATGGATTGTTCCTGTTTCATGAAAAGGCACTGTGAGCACCAGGAACCTTCTCTTACTCCAGCCAGAATTCCAGCCCCAAGAGCATCCATGAGACTGCTATAACCTTGCAGAAGGGCCTGGAGATAAGAAAACTCATCACAGAGGAAAGAAAGCCAAGGGCAGAGGGCTGGCCCTCTCTACCTTTTTGTCAGCTGGCTGACCCCAGAGAGAGTTTTTGTGTTCCTGCTACATTTTACTCATATTGGAAGGTAGGAATGCAAAGCATATGTTCTGGCGCTATTGGATAACTGAATCAGGACTGATTTAATGGCAATGGTATGGGGATTGCCTCCCTTCGACTTTTGCATATAGCCTTGCTTTGCCACAAGAATGCTGTTGTTTTTTTTGCTACAAGAATTTTTATGACATTGTAAGTTATAAATTTGGTGAGGTTGTTCCTTCAAATGATATGTGCCAGTATAGTATGCCAATTTACAGGAAAAGCAGAGGTAGTGTCCTGCAGTTTGTAAGGTGGAGTCCAGGATTATGCATTATTTAAAGAGAAGCACCAGTATATAAAATGTTAAGCTAATTTTAATGTTGAATTTGGGGAGACGATTCCTTCACTGCTGTTTTCCTTTCTAGAGAAGGGAGCACACTTACTGAAGCTTCTATAGCCCATCAATGACAGACATTAGTCAAACAACTATTAACCACTATCTGTTTCTAGAATTAGGATCAATAGAATTTTCAGATTTAACAAATGTAGTTTAATGGGGAAATCAAAATAGCTGACATACATATTAACACTAAAGTGTCTTACACAGTACTTTGGCATGTTTCTGGATGGCATGAGGTAAGGAGAATAGTCTTGCCTGAGCCTAAGCTTTATTCCCTAATTTATACACATCAAACACATCAACAGAATTCATAAGGCATGCCTGTAAGGAGCACCTGGGAGAGAACCCATCTGAAGGCAAATTAGGTAATTAAAATCATAGATGTCCTTGGAGATTATTTTGGAGGGAGGTTCTCATTCAGAGCACACAGTACACAAATTTGTCTCCTAGCCTAGGTCCCAGTGGATCTGTGTTTGAATCCAGTTGAAAAGGGAGGCTATCAAAAACAATAATGATAACAGGAAGGGCAATTTTTACTAAGACTTCTTTAAGACACTTATGTCTTAAGCAACACTTAAATGTAATATGAAAGCCAGAAGCAGTGCATTTTTCATGTTTCTATAGGCTACACAGCTCAGCGATGGCCCACTAGAGACTCCAGTACAATTGGCAAATCTTTGCACCTGGAGGACTCCAGCCATTGGCAGTAATCAAAGGACGCGCAGAACAAGAAAGGAATAGAAGCTCACAGGAACTGTTGGGAGCACACATGACACTTCCTTTGAGTACGACCCTCTATTTGAAGGATTCTCCCAGGGCTGGGATCCTGAAGGTGCAGGTGAGGGAAAGAGATAGTCACAGTTCACAGTCTGTGTATCTCATTTGGTTTCACAGAAGCCTATAAGGCAAGCTTTATTCCTATTTAACCAGGAAAGCATGACCCTTAAACATTAAAAAAACATAATATAGCCATAGTTACCTGGTTTGTATCTCTACTTAAGAAATACGGAAGAAACAAATGATTTACTTTTGTGAACTTTTGACTATTTATTAAGTGCAGTATAATCTTCATAAATTTATGGGTTTTTTTAACTGCTTCACATTCTCTTCATGTAATTTTTTTGGCAACACAAAAACAGCAACATAAGGTTAAAGATGAGAAATTCGGAAAAGCAAAAATTAACCCAAACTTCACCGATTATTTTATCACAGATGTCGTTCAGCTTTTGATGCATCATATAGTTTTGCGTTCGTTGCATATGACTATAGAAATATACATAGCTGACGTTTTCAGATACTTTGGGAAGTTGCTTTCCCGCCTCCCGCCCCCCACCAACTGCACAATACAGAATGTACATCTTCGTGCCAGAGGGTGAAATTCAAGACCCAATGATGGAGACTGTCGAGATCACAGGGAGAGGAGGGGGAGGGAAAGGACAAAACCAATTGGATGCCACTCACAAGAGGCGGACCTAAAAGAAAGCCACACCAGAAGCTAAAAAGAGGAAGTGGGCCAAAAGGGACAGGAGAAAAGGCAAACGGAAAATTTCGAGTGGCGAGTCAGCGCTCAAGGTAGAAGGCATCAAATAGGGTAAGGACGGTTCCGTTTTGCTTTCCAGTGCATGATGAGCAGTTTGTTTCGTACTCTCTTCATCTCCTCCATCTCCTCGGCTACCTGTATCATCTCCTCGTTGCTTAAATTCTTGCCATGTATCTCCCCTCTAAGTTGCGGGCGAGACCGAGCCAGCCTTTCCTTGAAACTGCCTTCTTCTAGCTTGTGCTTGCCCACACCACAAGGAGGTTGCTCCATAGGGGGGCGCTCCTCCAAAAGGTGCTTCACAGAAAGGTGCTCCAGAGGAGGGCGCTCCTCTGAGAGGAGCATCTCAGGTAAGAGCTCAGGAAGGAGTTCCTCGGGAAAGAATTCCTCCTCTTCCTCCTCGGAAGACTGCTCCTCTGAAGACTGCTCCTGCTGCTCCTCCTCTTCCTCTTCCTCCTCGTCCTCGTCCTCCTCTTCCTCTTCTTCCTCCTCCCTGGGAGAGTGCTCTTCGGAAAGGGTCTCCAGGGGACGCGGGGGCTGCAAGGTCTCTGGGGAGATCTGTGGTTCTTCCACGTTTTCTTTGGGTGGCTTTTCCATGCTGAGAATTTCTCTTCTTTAAACAGTTACTGTCCGGAAACAAGAAAGGAAAAGAAGAGTCGGAATATGCCAGCACCCCAACCGTGGGTTCCAATACCTGCCATTGCCAGATTCTGAGTCCTGGAGCCTCAAATGCCTGCTTACCGAGAGGCGTGGGGCTCGCCGGACTTGGACGCGTCTCTCTCTTTCCCAGCACTGGGTTTCCCGGCATCCCACCGCTTTCCCAGCAGGCCTCGGGCGGGCCGCAGTGATAGGGGCGGGGCGTCGCGCCGCGCCGCGACCACAGACTAGGCTTCCTCCGGCGCCACCACTGCTGCCCCAGGCCCAGACCACTACTCACCCTTTGTCCACCGGAACTTCTCCGGGCAGCTTGCTCGCGGTGGTCCTCTCCTTGAAGTGACCTGCAGACTGATTTGAGACCGGGTAGGGGGCAGGGATGAGGGACGGCCTGACACGCCCCCTTTCTGGGCACACCAGTGTCTCCAGGGTTACCTGCCGCCACCGCAAACACCCTCTCGACCTCTGCCCCTCCTCTCTTCACCCTGCAAAGGCTCCCCTTTCCCCCACCAGGCGGAAAGTGGAAGCAAAGAAATGCCTAGAAACGATTTGTATTTCTTTCCCGTGGCTTCACTCACTACCCCACCCCAAAACCACCATTTTCCGCACTGAAATATCTGCCATCCCGATCCTCACACAACTGATTTAAGGAGATCGAGGAAACTTACTTCCTTTTCTCTGCTTTCCCCCTTGACCGAAGGGCAGTAGGAAGACGGGCGCCTAGACCTGCAAAAAGGAGCAGAACTAGAGGGATTTGGGCAGACAGGCTCCCTCCCGGTCACGTGAGGGCCCCTCGTCACCACCGAGCTCAGATCCCCTGTCACCACTTTGACCAGTGACGCGGCCAGCTACTATCCCCCTGGCCCCTAACACACCTGGCATTGTCATTCACCCCACCTCCCGATATTTGCATTTTCCGTTACAGAGCCAATCACATCTAATCCAAGGGGTTAATGCCGCCTCCTCTAACTGCTGCTTCCTCTGCTAGAGCCTTTCTCTCCCACTTCCCCCCTACCAAGGTCCATAATTTCCCTGGCAATCCAGATGCTGCCCTGAAATTTGATTATTTTCACCTTCATCATTTCTCTCTGCTTTCATCCACATCCAAAGCCACATTATGTCCATGTAGATACTACAGAATATTTTTACCTCTTGTCTCATTTTTCCTTTGTTTTGTTTGTTGAGCCCCAAACCTATATCACAAAATAGAAGTTCCAGTCCATTTTGTATACCAAAGTAAATTACATTTTTGATGTGTTTAAATATATACCCTAATGAAAAATATTCCAGAAAGAGTTGTGTGTATAAAGTATACAAATCTGTAAAGACCGAAGATGTTGTTTTTGATATGATGTGCTTTTGTCTATCCATAGTCACAACTAGTCAGAAAATCCATTTAGTATCTGAAATGGGATACGTCTTGGTGGGAAATGTCACCTTATTAAAAAAAACATTAAGTAAGAGATATTCATGTGTGAAAGGAGCCCTGGTGGTGTAGTGGTTAGCATTGGGCTGTGATTCGCATGTTTGGCTGCCCTAAGCCACCAGCAGCTCCACCGGAGAAAGACAGGGCTTTCTATAAAGATTGCCAAAAACCTTGGAAACCCTATGTCGCTGAGTAGACATCCACTGGGCTTTCTACTCCCATAAATAGTTAGGACCTCAGAAACCGACAGGAGGGTGCTGAGAGTCGTCAACACTGAAGCAATAGCAGTGAGTTTGAGGTTTTTAATAAGGTATTTTACTGAACTGTCCGTTTTTAACCAGTTCCCTCTTGGTGCTGCTGATTGTTGAGAACGATTTTATTAATTCATTAAATCAACAAATGTTTGTCAGGGTCAACAGTCCCACAACCCCCAAAAAAGATAAATACTACCTTGCAGGCATTCAGTATTAAATTATGTAATTGTTTAGGTAAGCGCATACCCAGTGGCAGTTGCTGTTGACTTAATTTGCATTCATCATGACCCCCTGTATGTCAAAGTAGAACTTTGTGGAGTGTTCTTTTTCTTTTATAGAAATCATTTTATTGGGGGCTCGTACAGCTCTGATCACAATCCATCCATTGTGTCACATTTGTACATATGTTGTCAATATTTTCAAAACATTTTCTTTCTACTTGAGCCCTTGATATCAGCTCCTCATTTTTCCTTCCCTCCCCCATCCTCCTGCCCTTGTGACCCCTTGATAAATTATAAATTATTATTTTCATATCTTACAACATCCACTGTCTCCCTTCATCCATGTTTCTGTTGTTCGTTCCCTGGCGGGGTGGTGGTTTCTACGTCAATCAATGTGATCGGTTCCTCCCACGTCCCCCTACCCTCATGGTTTGGCTACTCCCATTGTTGTTCCTGAGGGTTTATCTGTCCTGGATTCGTGTGTTGAGAGCTCTTATCTGTACAAGTGTACATGTTCTGGTCTAGCTGGATTTGTAAGGTAGAACTGGGGACATGATAGTGGGGTGCTGTTAAAGAACTAGAAGACTGTTGTGTGTTTCATTAGTGCTCTACTGCACCCTGACTGGCTTATCCCTTCCATGTGGCCTTTCTGTAAGGGGATGTCCCATTGTCTATAGATGGGGTTTGGGTCTCCACTACGACCCCCCCCTCCACTTGCTCGCATTGGTTGTGGGATTTTCGGTGGCTAGTTTTTTTGAAGATCTCCAGGCCTTCTATGCCACCTTTGGACAAAACCGCCAACCTTACGGTTTGCAGCTAAGTACATAAACCATATAGCCAGGTGTGCTATACACGGAGTAACCAACAACCAAACTCACTGCCATGGAGTCAATTTTGACTCAAAGCGACCCTACTGTAGGACAGAGCAGAACTGATTGTTGGATTTCCAAAACTTTAAGTCTGTGAGTAGCAGGATAAAATATATGCTCACATACTCAGTTGTTCTCACAAGTGTATGTATTTTGAATCTAATCGTGTTTTAAGGAGCCCTAGTGACATAGTGGGTTACACATTGGGCTGTTAACTTCAAAGTCACCAGTTCAAAAGCAGCCAGCTCCTCAGGAGAAGGATGAGGCTTTCTGCTTTTGTGAAGAGTTAACAGTCTCGGAAAACACACAGGGGCAGTTCTACTCTGTCGTGTGGGGTCGCCGTGAGACACAATTGACCTGATGACAGACAGTAAGCTTGGTTTGGGGTTTTCATGGCACTGTGGATGGAGGTGTTTTGTTGCTAACCACAAGCTAAGCAGTTCAAACCTCCCAGCCGTTCTGTGGGAGAAAGGAGATGTTGTCTGCTCCTGGAAAGATACACAAAAGCTTTGGAAACCTTCTAAAGGGTCGCTGTGAGTAGAAATCGACTAGATGGCAGTTGGTTTGGTCTTCTGGGTTGGTAATGGTGCTGTATGCTCTTTGATTTTATGCCCTCATCTCACCTATTCACAACAAGCAGCGGGTTCCTTTCTCATGCAGATATCTTTTTCTGCAGAAGCAAACCAGGTCTCTTCCCCCTCTCCCTGTTGGATGTTTTCAGGATCTATGGCCTTCCTACCTGTAAGGATCTGAGGATTATTGTCTTGTCTTTCTTTTCTTTTCTTTGTTGTTTTTCTTTGCTTTTCAAACCTAGGCTGCCTAGGACGTTTCCAAACAGAAGTGCATTTGTGAAATTTCCCGTTAAGAGACCATTTCGTGGTCTTCCTCTGGCATCTAATTGACTTTGTATTGAGAGCAACTAGATCTAGGTTAGTTCACCTTTATGTCTCTCCATATGGGCTTTACTTTTCAATTTTCCAGTGATGTGTATCCTTAAAACCCAAGTTTCACCACACTGTCTTTATTATTTCTCCAAGATTGGCTTCTCATGTCTGTAGTTTCTTTCCCAGAGGAGTCCCTCTTCATGAGTTTATTCATTTCTAGGCTTTTTCCTTTAACATCCTGTAATGGATGTTACCTTAGCAGACGTGTAATCATTCGGATGTGGGGGTTTGGGTCCTTTTTCGTTTTGTTTTCCTTCTCTCCAGTTGAGCTGAAATGACTTCCTGGTCGATTACACACTGACAAACATGCCCTTTATCCCTGATGGTCGGAAACTGTCAAGGTTCATGGCTTGGCTCTAACCCCTTCAGCTTGGTGAGATTTACTGGGAAACCTACTTAAATGTTCTGTGACTCAGTTTCCTCATCTCCAAAATTGAAGATATAATAAACCTGCCTCATAGAGTGGTCCAAGGAGTGAATGAGGCAAGCTAGTTTAAAAACAACAAAAAAAACCACCTGCTGCTATCTAGTCAATTGCTATATCAGGTGTCCAAAGCTTTTGTAAATCGTTATGGGAACTGATAGGCTCATCTTTCTCCCACAGAGCAGCTGGTGGGTTTGAATAACCAAAGTTAGCAGTCTAACGTTTACTCAACAGTGCCACAAGGGTTCTTTCAGTACAGTAAAGTACCTATAATAGGGCCCAGCACATAGAGAGCATTCTATAAGCATTAACTTTAATAATATGACATAGAGCTAAAACGACTACTAATTATGGTTCTTTTATTACTAACGTTAAGGCACCCTAGTGGCACTGTGGGTTAAGAATTGGGCTGCTAAGCACAAGGTCAGATGTTCAATTCCACCAGCCAGTCCATGGGAGAAAGATGAGGTTATCTGCTCCCATAAAGATTTATTATCTTAGAAATCCTGTGGAACAGACTTACTCTGTCCTATAGGGTCACCGTGAGTCGGAATCAACTTGATAGTTATAGGTTTGGGGTTGTTTTTTTTTTGGTATTACTAACTTTAATTGATCACTTATAACAGGCTCATAAGTGCTAAGTTATTATCTAAGCACTTTCAGTGTGCTACCTCAAACAATCCTCATTTCCACAGAGTCAATTCTGACAGATAGCAGCCCTCTAAGACAGGGTTATGAACTTCCCTTGTGGGTTTCTGAGATTGTAACTCTTTACAGAGCAGTTGGTTGGTGGTTGCGAACTGCTGACCTGCTGGTCATAACCACATAACCAGTACACCACCAAGGCTCCTTAGTTTCTATGAGAGACTACAGAGAACAAGACTGCATTTAACGCAGAAAAACAGCCGCTTCTGGGTTTAGGTTAAAAGCGCGATGAATGTTCACTGGAGTCTCTCATTTTTCATGTTCAGATTCTGTTATTCAGGATATTAGCAACAAAATGTTAATTTAAAGCATGCAACAAGCACTGAATAGTTTGATCAAGTCAGCAGTCCCAGGATTTCAGGGACTGCAGGGGATTGCAGCAGAGAGCTCTGAATCCTAGTGAATTCCTTTTCCCCATTGGGGGTGGCAGCGAGGAGATTGCCCTGCCAGGCAAGTTCCCCCACTTCTCACTTCCACTGTGGCTTCTTGTGTGTGTTGACCGTGGCAGGGGGGAAAGCAAGGGACATTGTTTCCAGCATGGAGTCGATTCCGACTCATAGCGACCCTATAGGACAGGCTTGAACTACCTCTGTGGGTTTATGAGACTGTAACTGTTTCTTTTATCGTTTTATTAGGGGCTCATAGGACTCTTATCACAATCCAAATATACATCAATTGTGTAAAGCACATTTGTACATTCATTGCCCGACTAACTGTTTATGGGTCTAGAAGGCCCCATCTTTCTCCCAAGGAGCAGCTGGTGGATTCAAATTACTGACCTTGCGGTTAGCAAGGTAACCCTGAGAGCTTCCAAACCAGTAGAATCATTTTTTTTAATGCGAACTTGGTAAATGAGGGAGGCAGTGAAGAATTAGAAGCGGGTGAGAAGAGTAAAGATGGTATCTCTATATTGGCTCTAAGTCTCTGCCTGGCAGTAGCTGATTTGGGGCTCCTTAAGGGAAGGGGGCCCCCATGAAAGA